AAAAATAGAAATTATTAATAAAATAGGTATAAAAAAATAAACACTGGTATAAAATAAGTATGAAATAGGTAATGTAAAAGTATAGAGTTGGTATGTATACGGCTGTAATACATATAGTGACGACAATCGAGAATCATGTACAATATTATACTGCAGTTATGTTATATTGGCAATACATTCTTTTTGTACCTATTTATTTTTATTCTTTTTTTTTTCTTTTTTTCGACAATAGTAGCTATTACGAAATTATTAACGTTTGAGGATACTATACCTATATACAACAAAGTAATTTGTCGTAACCCGGAAAACCCTCGTTTTTCATTCGTTTTGTGCCTTACCTAAACGACCACGATGGGCAAACAATATGTATATAATAATAATGTATAATAGACGTGATGACGTAACGGAACCAATCTGTAACACTTTCGATTTCGTCGATTTCAATTTTTTTTTTTACACATTTTATTYCGTCTACGCGTTCTACCTCTTACCGCTGATTTTACACAAATATATTATATGTGTACATTACATATTACATACATTATATTATGATGATGTATATATATATATGTTTATAACGTTTAGTTTAATCTATATTTATACCTACCTACTATTTAGATTACATGCAAATTGATTGTGACATCACAGCCAATTCACAGGTAACAGTAATAATTGTGTGTATGTATTTTTCGAATCTGGAAGGTGTATAATTACGATCAGAGTAATGTGAAAAAAAAATTTAAGAAGTATACGGCTGTAAAAGGTATCGTATGTATATCTCAAAAACCACGTGGTTACAAGAGCACTGGCTTTAACTGTTGTTTCAGAGTTGCTTATAAGTTATAATTAATAAATTATATAATAATAACGTATATAGGAGATATACATATTATAGGCATGCTGTATCAATATCTACCGATTAATTTTATTTTTCCCATTTTTTATCGAAATGAAATAATTTTTCAACATCGTCCTGGGATTATGACAATATTACAACGGCCACCCATTGACCAAATTATTATCCACATGCGCGCCAGATACTCATAGGTATATAATATAAAAATAGGTTTAGTGTTTATTATGCCGATACGTGCAACCACTCGGTCGCGTGTGTGTATATATTATTATAATACTGAAAAAAATAATACGCCATAGGTATACATTCATACATATATATATATATATATATATATCGGTATCTCGTAGTCTGTGACCTAAAAATTACCATCCCGTGAATTGGTAATGTGCTTTTGAAAAATAAATAGAATATTATCTCGTAATAGAATGGAATATTATTATACTGTTATTATGATTATTATTCCTCTCTTTCGGTCATTCTGTCGGTCGTCGTCTCGGATGTCTTATTTTTTAGTTTTCAGTATGCCTGACGCCTTTTACATATTATATATGTATATAATATATTATAGGTACCTAGGTATATTGGAAATATTCAGCGGCATGAATTCACGCATACTTTCATCTGGACGTACCTACGTATTTTATGAATAAACTAATTTTTCTAGTATGACATAATGACTTGACATATATATTATTATTATTATTATTCTAGCGAAATATAACGTGTCCCGAAAGATGAATAGATCCTGACAAAAGAATTAGATTGTTATACTCATTATTGTCTTAAGCATCATATTCTATACTTACTACTCTGACAGCTTTTTTGTGGACACGGATTCATCACGTTTATATTTCACTATGCATATACATATAGGTAGGTACGCCTGGAGTTAATACTTTATAAACTCTTACAATTACTTTATTATTACTTTGTTGTTTGTCCGACCGAAAGATAGCAATACTCATTTATGCATAATATTAAACGACTCGATCGTTTTTTTTTTTTTTTACCATTATTAAAAATCATTAGATAGGTAGGTACCACGATAAATATTATTTTTGTTACTAGTTATTATTTGTATAATCTCATGATATACCTGATGTGAACATTAAAGTAATATTTTTACAGTGGTATAACTGTATATAAGTGACGATTTGCTACAAAAATAATACAACTATACTATATAATCTATTTTTACCGTCTCACGATCATATTATTATAATGTTTATGATTTAACCTTAATCTAAGTCTTTATGCGTAACTAATTCATTGTTGATATTAAAATTAGTTCTCATCCGCTTAAAAGAGTTATATATACAATATTCGCTATACAGGTAACCTGCTTTACAGTATTATTAGTGAGACAACACACAAAATCTGTAATATGTATATTGTACATTATTGTGCACAACTCTGAAATGTTAATAGGTAATACGCGTTTACTGAAATATTTCATAATATCATTTTTACTTTTTGACGAATTAAATTCACATGCGCTGCGAATACCGCAAATAATATTAAAAAAACAGATAAATACCTAATCTATTATTATTATTATCAATAAAATCTGCTGGACAACCGCGACTCTGCGTGGAAATCCACTCACCAAACATCGCGGGAGATTAAATAATATCGTAATTACAAGTACACGACATAAAAGAAGTGCTTCTGGGGGGGACGCGCGGGTATTGGATTAACCATTGTTTCGTGCGTCGCCCCGGAGGTATTATTTATGTAATATGTATATTGTATATATATTATGTGTACGATCGGAACTTGYGATAACCATCACAATTTTCTATATTATTATCAAATAGGTATATAAGCTGGATTATATATCTACCTACATAATGTTTTTCTCTCCACTCGGAGGCCGAAGAAAATGTTGAAAAACGTTCCAATTGTTAATAATATTATTATCACTACTAATATATATTTATAATCTAACTATAGGTATATTCGTCTCGAATTGACACGAAATGATTATTACGTGAATTATTGTTGTTGTGACTATTATTTTGATGAATTTCGAAACGGCAGCCAGAGTAGGCCCACAACGAGAAATCGATTGGGCAACTAMAATGACTACAGCAGTGGCAACGAAAATGTTTCCCCAAGAGAGACGTCATAATTTTATACCTACTTGTTGCTTACGGTTACGTGATGTATTTAATAACGGATGATCATTAACCCCGATCGCACTGGACGATGATAGGGACACACGGCAACTGCAACCAAGAACAATACCTCGTTTGTAACCACAGTAGATACATATTATTATTGTTATTATAATAGATATTATGTTAACCCATATTTATTTCGTTAATTTATTGTTGTTTGTTTGTTTTTAATTGTATTATAAAATAAACTATACTGGATTTATTCAATTAATATAGTATATTTAAGTGATATAATATTATTTATTAATCATATTAATCACGTGATGGATCATCGTGTTCATTATGTCTTTATTTTTTTCTTAACATCCAGGAAATATTGTATCATAACTTTAGCTCGCGTAAATCGTGAAACCCGATCTGGTCACGTATAGTAGGTACTCATATACAATGTACGTCCGACAATGACCCCCCGAGTGCGCTAATGTTTTTTAATAATGTATCATTTTGTTTTTCAATGTACCAATGACGCTAACCTGACCTAACCTATACCTAGGCATACATATTTTCGTCTCTTTCCAYGTTGTYTGTATATTAGCTCGTCGGAGTTTTACATAAAGTATAAACAATGCCACGCGCTGGCCGATCTCGCAAAGTCGAACGAGAAACGTGCCGTTTGGGAGCGGCCGTGCGGAAAAAATCGAGTCCTGTTGCACAACCACGGGAGATATCGCATTTTATACACAATACATTATATAGGTATATATCATTATATTATATGAGGAGAACAATATTTTCGTGAAGAATTTATAAATGTGACCGAAAATGTCGCGGTGAATCGGTATTGTTCTTTGTGAACACAACGACGTATATAATATAGTCGCGCGGTGGATTATACGTATTACGAAATAGAGTTTGCTATTTTTTTTGGCTTCTTCAATACGCTTGTGGTTTTTATTCTCATTCTTATTTTTTTTTTTTTTTACTACGAAATGTGTAACGAAAAAAGTAATCAATCATTCGTGACACAAAAGAACCGCGTGAATAAGAATAGAGGTGACGGGGAACAATAACGATTGGGAAAAGTGAATTCGGATGAGAAAACTCGGTCAACGAAACAAAAAGTGATGGGGAGCGAGAGGAAAACCTCGACAATGTACAATGTATAACAATAAAGTACCGATTACGTGAGTTTTCCTAAAAAATAGTCTCATATTATATGATTACTTATAGATAGATGTAATTTTAAGTATATAATAGTGGCTATCATTATTATAGATACTCTAATAGTAGTACCTAATACCTACCTACTCTTAATTACAAATTTATTTTCATAATTAAATATATAACTCGATGGATGTTGTATTATAAATTGATATAATTAGTTCTGTAATATCTAATGTATTAGGTATAAAGAATATCCTATAGCAAATCAAAATTGCTCAGCTCAATTTGCATAGATACCTATAAGTACCTATACTTCTATTATTATAGCTCTCCGGCATCTTTATAATAAATGTGATCTATTATTTAAGATGTTTAATTTGTTGTTATATTTTATTGAATATTTATAATCAATTTTATATTAACTCATGGATATGTATTTTCTGATTTTCAGTGTTCATAAAATATTAATTACTGCAGTAAAAATATATTACAATATTACATTTATGATACTAACTTGGGTTTGATTCAAATATACATTTAACAAATTTAGTGAAATAATATTTAAAAAGTAGGTCAGAATTTCGGTGGTGGATGTTTGTCCATCGTCCCTTCGGTTCTCGGACAGGATAATGTAATTTTACTGTATTCGATTTGAATGCAATGATTGCATTCGATAAAAAACGATTCTGAGCGGACGAGGGAATGTTTTTTATTTAATTTTATTCATTTCTACGGTGATAAACAAAGCGTTATAAATATATAATAATATATAATATATAATATATAATATATAATATATAATCTAAATAGATAATTTATATAATTATAATTAGGAAATATCATAAAAATGAAAATAAAATATAAAAGAAAAGAGAAAGCTCAAAAGTCACAAATATTTTGAAAAATTAACCATGTCTATAGGTAAGGCTAATATAAGTAAACAACCCAAATTTCAAGTTTTTAACCAAATTACAACAAGTAAACTCACAACATTAAAATGTCTTTAGATAGCTCAAAAATTGTTAAAATTTTCAAACTTTAAACCGTAAGGAACAAAATCAAAAATACAACAAAAAAAAATTTTCATTAGAAGAAATATTTCTGGTAGAAAACGTCGTCTGTAATTATTTAATATTATAAAATCGTGAAATCGTACGTTTTTTCTCCTTTAATCGCTTTTATTTCGAGTACCGTTTCGAAAATCAAAAAATGACATCTTTAAAGTACCAGTTTAAGAAGATTACCTTTCAGAAAAAATGCTACACTTGACACTTTTGRGCAAGTTTAGAGGAAGAAAAAGTGTTAACAGAATAAAAAAAAAGAAAAAGAAATAAACATCATTGTAAAACCAATACATTCCTCGCTCCGCTCAGAATCTAAAAAATATATTAAAGGTCGTAATTTAATATATTAATCAAATCACGTTTTTTTAGGTAGCTACCTACCTACGTTATGAAATTAGCTACAAAACGTATAAAGCCATAAATTACTATTTTATAATTTATAGAAAATTGTATACTCAAAAATAAATAGTGAATATTATTTTCTATAGAAATATGTCTAATAGAATAAATTTCGATGTATAACTCAAAATTATATTGTCCAAGGTACCTACATAAAATTGAATAAATGTATGAACTTATGATATAAATAATTAAATAGGAAGATTAACTAATATCGATATTATTATAGATCTATATAATTTATTGTAAACACATCGATAAAAAAGTTCATCATGTTAGTTATGTTTCAAATTTTTTTCAATAACGTATAAAATATAAATATTGGTAATATTATTATTATTTTAGRTAAATATAATTGTTTTCTAATTAATATTTCATATTAAATAGGTATAGGTATAAATAAAATATATAAGTATTTGGTACATATATAAATTGAAGTTCGGTATTTTTTTTTCTATTGGTTTTAMCTGGTAAATATGTTTTTCGGTATCTACYTATTCACTTGAAAAATTCCTCTACAGTTAAATTTATTTCATATTTTCCAAAAAAATGTAAATTTATGAATTTTAAGAACTTTTCTAAGAAAAAATTTACTTCAAAATAAATAAATAAATAAAATAGTATTATTAAGTAAAGTTATACTATATTGATGCCTTTATAATAAATTAATATTGAAATATAGAACCTAACGGCTAACCAAAAAAATATTCTTACCCGATGATCGGTCGAGTGTCGGCGGGGCAGCAGATCACGCGTCGTCSGTGTCGTTATTGTTATCCTCACGCGGAACGCACTTGGACACTTCAAAAGTTTAGACGGTCGTCACGTAACGAATATTTAATATTAGCATCCGCGTGGCCATGTCGCAGTGGACGGCACAAAAAACACCGAACGTTTTTTTTGTTCGCCGATCGATCGACAAAAAACCGAAAGACGAAAGATGCGAATAAGAGAAAACGAACGAACAAACGAACAAACCAAATCGCACGAAAACAATATCGATAACTGTGCAACGGTAAAATAATAAATAATAATATTATTTCGTATAAAGTGCACGCGAACGAATTATTATACCCACGAGGTTTACACGATCACTGCGCGGTCCGATATTCTAACGATCTGGCGACGATCGATGTTATTCGCGATTATTGCCTATAACCATTATCTCATTTTTTATTATGATCGTCGTCGCGCGTCGTGTGCGTTGTGCGGTGTGAGCCGCGACGTCGAGAGAGTGTTGTTCGCGTATCGGATGCGTCTGTTCCACTGCCGGGCCGGAGGACAACCCAGTTTCGCCCGGCGCGTCTTCGTCGTCCGCCGCCGCCACCGTTACCTACCGACGAGTTCCCCCCACCGGCCGCCCGTTCGTCCGTCCGGCCGAACCGATCCCACTCGAGTCGAGTATAGCGCGAAAAAATAACGTTAGCGGCGCGCGCGCGGTCAGTTACAGTATAATAATAATAATAATAATACACGAACTATACATAAAACGCGAGCGAGAGCGCGCACACGCACGCGGTATATACCGCAACAAACGGCCGGGATACCGCCACCGCCGCCGTACACTTTTGCTTTCCGCGCCCGGGTGACACGCGACTCATCTCTCTCGCTCGCACGGTGGCCCAGTTACACCGACCGGAGGAGGCGGCGGCGCGGTGTCTGACGTTGCGGTTTGCGGAAGAGTGGTCGCGGTGGAAGTGGYGTAGGAGTAATCGCCGTCGTCGTGGGGTGGGGGAGAAGTCAGCGGGGCGGGGCCGTTTCACGGCGAGCGGGGCGAAACGGGGCGGCGCCCGGATCGCCCGGCAGTGGGGCACGGTGACGGGTTGGCCGTCGAGCGCGTTACCGCGGCGCCGACGCTGTAGCGCCTGCGAAGTCCGCGRCGGTCGGTGTATCGGACGCGTGCTGCCGGTGCTGCCCGCGGTGGCCGCATCGGTGGTGCCGGTGAGGAAGCCCCCGAAGGACGACCGCGATGCTCCGAATTCGCGCGGTGTCGTGGTCAGCACTTGGCAGTGCGCCGCTGACGTCGGTTGTGCGCGCTCGCGCTTGCGCTTGTAGCCTATTCGTGTAGGCACCTATTTCTTGTTAGTATTGCAAGTGTAAAATTGTACCAACTTGTTAATATAACAAAAAGAAAGATAATATGTACCTACTGCGTTTGTGGCGATGAACCGTTGGTTTCTAACACACATTTTAATAAACAAAATTTATAAGCCTATCTTTGGCTTTTGAAATTATTCAACAATTTCTGCGCGGGGCTTTTGCAGTTTTTATTTTCGGATGACATTTTTTTAGTACCCATACGTAACCTTTATAAATAAACATAATATAGACTTATTATTCAAAAATAATTAGAATTTAATAACTGCCTATACCTATATTGTATGGAATTAAAAAGTATTTATATGTATTATTATTATGTGAATATTTGGAATTAAGCAATTATTTTGCTCTCGCATCATATGTAGTAGGTAATACCTATATTTTATAAAAATGTGTATTATAACAAAAATTTAAAAAAATATGTCCATTACTATATAATATATAATAGTACCTAATACCAATATAGCTTATATTATCTACTATATACATAATACTCGTATAGTACCTACTAATTATTCCTTCTATTAGATTATATATAGTATATACCTGATACTTATTAGTTCTTCTGCTATTTTCCGTATCATGGTATCTTATAATTTACGAGTATCATCGGTTTACTGTGATTTATAATTAAAAGTAAAATAATTTCAAGCTATATCTATTTAACCACGGTTGGCTGCAGTATATAGGTGCAATCACAATAGCCAATAGATAGTTCGAATGTGGAAGTTAGTTGGCTTTATAAAAACTTAGATTAAGTTAGGTACAATAGGGTATATAAACCTTTACCTAACTTATATACACTATATAGTAATGATCGGTTGATCACCACTCTTTTACAGTAACAATAAGTGATTTATATTAAAAATTATAAATATCTGGTAACAATCGACCACCATCATCTATTTAGACAGGTATATTACATTATTTTATTACACGAAACATAATATTAACTTGCGCATCTAATAAAATTACTATTCTATGATTTTTTTCATCGAAAAACTGTACGTTTTATACATCGCTAATAAATATACTTTATATAATATGTGTTTAAGATTACGTACCTACGCAATAATCAACGGATTTGGGATGAATTATCTTTAAGACGATCGACTAATATTCCTCTTCTGAAGATCAACTAGTCGTTCATGGTTGACTATAGTTGATGAATGGTAATRACCAGAGATTTGACAAATTGAGCCCACCGAGTTTTTTGTGTTTTATCGGTTCTAAACTTAATATCCACAACACTTACAACCATATATTAGGGTCTGTGCAACTCCGACATTTAGACTCCATTTTTTCAATTTGAACTCTTAACACTTTTTAGTCAGCAGCCTCATGACTTAAAGGGCCCAAAATGGCCAAAAACACGTCAAATATTTCTCAGTAACTCGTCGGGCCAGTCTGCTGTCAGCCTCTGATACACAGTATAAAAGTGTATAATTTATTATATACATGTACTATATACAATATACATGTACCTACTATACGTCATATATTAGGTACTTAAATATATAGTTAATCAAAATAGAATTTCGAAAAGTYAAATAAACATCATCACATAAGTAAATAAACATATTTAAACTGCTGTTCATGCATCTTTTAATTAATCGAAATTATATTATTATGTCACATGATTATTTGCTATTATCAATTATCCTAACATATTTATTAGTATTTATAAGCAATTTTATCACCTATGTATAATATAATTATAAGTACAGTATAATATTATGTAATAATAATAATATAATACTTATATAAATGTTCATTTATATTTTATACTTATTTAAGAAAAATGATTTTCTAATTTTTTTTTAAGTTCTCGTGGTTTAAGGGATTTTACAATATAGATGATGGTATTTAAATTTTTAACACTTTTTCAACTTTAAGCAAGCAGTGAAAATTTTGATTCAAAATTTACTTAATTATAAAACTGTTCAAAAAGTTTGGGAACGCGCGGTCATTATATAAAATAATTATAACTGAAAAACAATAATCAATTATTTACCTATTAAATGAGCAACAGTGAAGGGTTAGAATTACGTAGTTATTCAAGTATACGCAAACAATAATATTTATAAGCGTTTTAAATTATTTTGACACCTATTTTTCAAATACATATTTGTTTAAAATTGGAACAAGTTGCCATTTTTGTCAATACTTTTGATACTTTCTAATTTTATAGTTTGCATACCTACTAGTAATAAATTTCTTATGGAATTGATAACATTCTTTTGTGATAAAACTTAACCTCTACTATTATTTCACTCACATAAATTAAATGAATATTTATATTTAATGAATTGTATTGAACRTGATGGCGCTGAAACATTTAAACTTTAAAGTTACAGTATCAGCTGAGGTGATATTATTATATCTCATTATTAGCTCCAGTTCTTTCCTTTCTTACCTTAATGATATTTCTCTAACGAATTCTAAAATTATTTTGTTCAYAGATGACCTTAAAATTCCATCAAGACTATTCTTTTATACAAATAAGTGACTATTAAATGCTCTTTATAATTGTAATATGTAGATAAAAATCACGCGAAGGTTTCTAACGGCTGCATTTGCAGCAGACCGCAAATTTCGCAAATCGCGTATATATATATAATACATATAATTATTAACTTTATGACGAAGTGTATGGRGGTGGTATATATTATTATTATTATATTATTAAATATAATGTAATGCAAGTAGCAAAATTACCAACTACGTCGATCATAATATCATCTRAAGACCATCACGGCGGCGATTGCAGAATCTACCTATACGAACTGTACAATAATAATATTATATATTATGTATATGTACACATTTGGTACATATTTTATATTTTTATCCTAMGACAAAGATTGGAAAAAAATACGTATATAATAACAATAATAATAAAATTGTTATAATATTATATTATTTTGTCGATCAATTATATATTATTATCCCTCAATAAAAACAAGTGAACCTATAATATTCCCTCGTATATTTTCTGCTTAAAAGTTCGATTTTTTTTTAAATTAGAAATGAAATATTAAATTATTAATTACATACTATTAAATATTTAGACAATCTACTGAAAAATTGCTAGACATTTTATGTTTATATCAATAATAAAACAATGGAATTTTTACAATTTGTAAAAAGCTGCAGTAAAACTTTTGAGAACAATAATGCAATACGAAAGGTTAACCATTTTATAATATCTGGTTAGATTATTAATTATAATATAATGGTGTTTTAGAAGGTCAAAAAAAAAAATTGTTGGAAATTGTCTTGAATATGTCTTCTTTGTTTTAACTGCAATGTTCGGCTATCTTYATATACATGGCGTAAGGAATTACACTATATGCATATACAATATACATGTATTATATAATAATATAATATGCTACCTAGGTAGATTATTATAACCATTAAATGTATTCTATTAAATATGCATATTTTGTATTTGATTTTTAATTATATAGCTATAAAAGTTGTTTTGTGTAAGATTTAAAAATCTTATACCTTTTTCATTTCATTATTTCTATAAAGTTTGTATAGGATTACCAGCTACTTATATATGCAGTGACTTAGCCATGGGAGAGGGAGTCTGGGTATTTATCTCCTATAGGCTATATGTACCAAATTTCAAAACCATGAGTGTGAATAATGTTATAGTCTTGGATGAGGATGCATACACTGCAGCACACGCACAAACGCCCGCAAGCGTGCAAACATTACAGACTCTTATCAATATATAATAGGCTATAGGTCGTTGAAAATTAATAATGAAAAAAAAATAATTTCACAATATTACAGTTAATAAAATGGTTTTAAACTGTTTATAATATCAAGCAAAAAAWTAAAAAACCACGAATAGGGATCAAAACCCCTCCCACCAGGAAATTTTATTGTTTTTTTCGTTATTATCTTTATAGGTGTTAGACAATTTAGATGTTACTATATAATACAGCATGTTATATGAGTATCATTATATATCTAAACATCTTTATAAATTACTTATACATATTAGGTATGAAGGTCTATCAGATCAGTTGTTCTGAACAAAGCCGTGTCGCATGACGATGATATTTGTAACAAGAACAAACAACTCGACAAAAAAAATTAGCATAGTAAGGCCTAGTTACTTGGTAGCCATTTTGAAAACAGGTTATGCGCATATGAAGGGCTGAAAATCACTCGTTATGTTGACTCCCCCCAGACAGAAGAAGTATTACTGCATAAAAACTATCGT